TGCTGTACTTCATAACCGTGGTTATTCTCCCATTTGGAATTTAGCTCAACTAAGTGTACCTCTCTGATGTTTGGAGCCGTGAGTAACTCTGAGCTGGGTGTGTTTTTCACGGACAGATTTAGTGATTTCTCTGTGTTCCTTCTGCAGTACAAGCACACAGTAAGGAGTATACAGCTGAGTTGTATATATTGTAAGTGCTTTGTGGTCTTTTCTCATTTATTTCAGGGTATAATGAGTTACAAAAGTAACAACAATCAATTATTTTCATATTTAGACATCATAATAAACTCATAACTGTTACGGGTTCTTTTAGTTGTCTGCCTTCCCAAACAGTGGAGTCTACCTCTGGTCATTCCTTCCTGTGAGACAAACTGTCGGCTTGTTTCACTGATGTTTCTGACCGTGAGTAGCCGTGACTTGGGTGTGTGACTCTGTGTCATGGCAGGTGTGTTGCTGAGGACCCAAGGAAGCTCAGTGAGTGTAAAGTTGTTTGTAAAGCTGTTCTCCAGCAAGCAGCAACACCACAGGCCAACAGACATGTATTAAACTAGCACTGCACTAGTCTATGTGAAGAAAAACCAACCGACAACCTCAGGTGATGAGATATAAAGCCAACAAGGAAGTGCTAGAAACAGTTCACCAAACGGCCACTTGAGGCTGGATCCAAAAGTGGATAAATCTCCATAGACCTCCATAGACCTCCATGTTAAACTCTGCAGCAGAAATCAACATGTTAACAGCCACAAAACAAAACAAGTGTTGGTCTCTAGCTAATATCCCTTTTTCAATTTGTATACAGGTCACGTGTTAGAATTACACCAGGCTTAAAGTTGGGCTTAACTAAGGGTGTGGCTCCTCTTTTGTGTCTTTTGTTTGAGGACCTCTTTATATGTGCATGTGGTCACATCAATGATACATTCATTCATTTGAATTCATTCATAAACTCCATCACTAATGTGTGCTTCAGCTAGATTCCTGTCCTTGTTCAAAGCTTTCTGCACATTAAAAACACATCCCAACATGTGTCTCCTCCGAGGAACGGAAAATATCGTCGTAATATTTTCAGGAAAAATAATATTATAATATAATATTACGAGAAGAATAAAGTCATAATTGAATGACAATAAAGTCAGAATATTTCAATAAAAGTCCCACCTGCCCTAGAGTCAGCTGTGCATCACTTTACCTCGTTGGGTCTCTGTTGAGAGAACAGCCGTGCTCTTCATTGGAAGGGGAAAATTGAAAACACTACGGACATAAATCTCACCATTGTGTGTCTTATTGTCCACACAAATCTTAACTTCACAATCTCCAATAAAGTGCAGCTTACATTTGCTTCCGACAGCATTTCAGTTGGAAGCGTCCCGGAGAGGCTCAAACAGAGCAGAGCTGTCCCTGAGAGACAGCGACACAGAGCTACTAACTAACCAACTGCTGGCTGCAGGAACCTACGCACTGACACGCTGAACATGCACAGAAGACAAAGCAACATATTCATTATGACTTCATTCTCCAAATCTCAGATCATTATTATTTATTTCACACAGTGGACTGAATACACCATAGTGGATGACAGCCTTATTCTCTCCATGGTGTTCAGCTCCACTAGAGCAGCTGCACAGCAGCAACAGCATTGCTTCTTTACTTTCTGTGTGATGGAAGATTGCAACCATTGCTTTTGAGGTTGCATAGTGCCACCTACTTTACTGGAGGCATTGTTGTGTCCTCTGCTACTTTCATGTATTTATTAGGGGGAAACCTGTGGTGTTCTTGATCATGCCGGCTGGCCTGGCTCTCCTCCAGAAGCAGGGGACTGAAGTAACAGAGCTATCCCAGCTACGGTGTTGCCCGGCTGGCTAGATTAGACCCAGGAGGAGCCCCCTACCCCTCCCTCTGTGACTCCCTCTGGCTATTGCACATCTGGCATCCACTGATGTAGGTATAAAAACGGTGCACACGCTCAGCCTCCATCTGCTGCCAACACATGCTGACCCCCCAGAGAGCCCTCTTAGTTTAACTAAGGATTCTCACTCAGGTGTCAGAAGTGATGGTAAAGAATCAGCCGACTTACCTTTTTGTGCTTGCTGGCTAATGGCGATTAATGCCTGTGACTACACACACACACTTACACGCACACAAAATGAGGCAGTTGATCTAACCTGTCCCATACTGATCACCTAAAGTGTCGGTTTAGGCTAATTACCAGAGCGTGTTGTACCTCCAGTGGTGTCATCCATGCAGGTCTGTTGGTCCAGCTTTGGCGCGAGAACTCCACCCAGTGAAGATGATTGACAGCAAAGTCTACTATTTATCTAAAATAACTCGGACGTTGTTTCAGGAAAGACATTTTGCTGTTGGATTCTTAAATGTAATTTGAAAAATGTGGTGATTACAAACAGAAAAATCATCTAAAGCTTTAGTTTTTGCAGAATAAAGACTATCTAACAATACAACATGGCTGCAGTGGACACGATCAGGGCTGGGACGGGTTCTACATATT